AATTTGAGCGATTTGCCGACGAGGAGGAGGTGGAGGCACTGCTCAGCGCGGGTGAGGCGGTGGGTTTCAAGCAGTCGGCGATTAGGAACCGCGGCACACTCGCTTCCAACGACACCCGGCGCACCAGCACGAGCGCCTTTCTGCCAGAGCGCAAGCCGGGCGGCAGGAGCAGCGCGGACGCGGACCCGATTGAGCGGTTCGTGCGGAGGGTGGAGGAGATTACGGGCATCACACGCGAGCGGCACGAGCGGATGCAGGTGGTGCGGTACGAGGCGGGCCAGTTTTACCGGCCGCACCACGACTCGTCGCCCTTCTCCATCAACCGATCAGTGCACAACCGGGTGGGTGCCGGTCGCATCCTCACCGCATTCCTCTACCTCAGCGACGTGGCCGAGGGTGGCCGGACGCGCTTCCCAAAGGTGCCCGACGACGCGGCGCGAACCAAAAAGCCTGCGCGGGCGCCATTCCTGAGCTTCCAGCCTCGCCGGGGCACGCTGCTGCTCTGGCCCAACGCGCTGGACGACGACCCGTGGACCAACAACGCGTTCGCGGAGCACGAGGCGATGGCGGTCGACGAGGGCGTTAAGTACGGTGCCAACCTTTGGCTGCTGCAGTACCCCGACGCGCTCGTCATCAAATCATGGGGGCTGGGCAAATGAGCGGAAGAGCATCGGAAAGCGGGGCACGGAGCGACGCTGGCGCCACGCCCGCTTCGCCGCACTCGCAGATCGCGCGCGCGCCGCCTTGCCTTGCGGCTTTGCGACTCCCACTTTTATTGTTTGGTACGAGTATGCTTCTCTACACCAATGAGGTTGGAATCTCTCTAGCAACCCCAGGAACAGATCACAGATCACCCCAGGAAGCGCGCGCGAAACACACGGGAAGGTGCTTGCTTTTTCAGAGTTGTCAGGGACCGCCCGACACAAAACGCCCACACCATCGCCGCAGGCACCGCCACCATCGCCCCGCTCACAGCGCTCGCCACGTAAAATCGTAATGGCCTGGTGCTTCCCGCTTGGCGTCCATTGTCTGCTAGGCTCATGCGAACCCACCGGCGTCTTGATCTGTCACGGATCCCTTGCACGCTATTGGCGCTGCGGCCAGCACTTTCGTAGCTGCTGCAAATGTCTCTTTTGCCTATGCACCCCGTACCTCGTGCTGCTGGTTCTCATCATCTTCGTGATACCTCCTCCTACTCCTCCATGCATAATCAAGTATGCTGGCCCAAATGACATTCACCCGGTGATGGCGTCATATGCGGACCTGGAGCTGGAGTCCCATCAGCTGGACTTATTGCCTAGCGACGTGCTTGATAAGTGCACGGTGGTCGCTTATAATCAGAGCGCTGGTCACGATCGCGGGTTCTTTGTTGTGGGTGTCTACCCTGCCGACGCCATCGGGCCAACCATCAACCCCGAAGCCTCTTTCGACTGTCGCGACAAGAGCCAAGGCTGGGACGAGATTAGCGGGTATGCGGGGCGAGTCTGCGGGGCGAGGGCATTGGAAGGGGCGTGCTGGGAGGAAAGGGAGCAGGCGACAATGCAACAGGAGTGCGCGTACACCTGCAACCTGTGCGACTCCGCACTGAAAGAAGCGGGGGTCGCGCTCGAAGCGGGGGCCTTGGTGCTCGAGCATCCCAAGGAGGAGTGGGCCTGGGAGCTGGCGGCGCTGGCGGCGCTGACGGAGCTGGCCCGTTTAGAAGCGGCGGTGTCCCGCCAGCTAAATACGACCAGCTCGCACCTCGAGACCGAGGCCGGCGCGGCAAAGGTCGGAGTGGCTGCCGGAGTGGCTGCCGCGAGTGGCATGTATTTGGCTGCCGCGACCTTTGCTGCCGGAGTGGCTGCCGCGATTATTCTCGTCGCGGCGGCGGTCGGCAGTGCGGTGCTTGCGGCGCTCAGGGCCCGGCGGCCGACACTGGTGTTGGTGTAGGGAACCGCGCCCGAGCGCGCCGAACGACCCAACAATGCGTGTCGCCAAGCTCTCACTGTATGGTTAAAGAGAATTTCTTCATTCTTGCACATTGATGGAGAGTGAGCGGCCGAAAAACTTCTGGGTCGCCTGTGCCGTGCCTGTCGGCTGTGAGAGCTAGATGACGACGTCGACGACACACGCTCGAGCGACACACAGTCACACACAATCTCACAAGACACTCAGCCAGCTGGGCTGCCACACATCCCGAGCCGCGTCATACCATACCCCGCAAAAAGTCCGAACCCAGCTTTGTCGTTGTTTGCATGCGACGATGGCAGCGCGCAAGATGATCGGGCGCTGCGTCTCCGTGTACTGGCCCGAAGACGAGCGCTACTACGATGGCATCATCGTGTCATATGCGTCGACGCGCAACGGCGACCGCATCCACATCCGTTATAGCGACGGCGAACTCCTGCCGATTGGAGAGGGCGAGACGCTGCACTTCCCAAATGATGCGGACAAGACATATCCTGCGCCCCGCCACACGGACAAGACATATCCTGCGCCCCGCCACACTGCCGCGGGCCGCAAGCGTGCTGCTCCCAGCGAGGTCAGCACGAGTAACGCGCCCAAGCCCGACGCGCCGGAGAAGCCCAAAAAGAAGGCGAAGCTCAAGCCATGCGACCCTGAGGCGCACCGCAAGATCAGCGTGAAGAGCGAGCGCAATGTCGAGCTCTTCTACCGCTACCTGCATCGCCGCATGTGCGTGCGGCTCCAGATGGATCGCGACAAGGCACGTCCGCCTCTCGCGACGGTCCTGGGTGTGGGTGTGACGCTGCCCGTGCCGCACGATCCCGTGCTCGCCCTTGCAACGACCGGCAACGCCTACCGCCACCTCGATACGGGCACGCTGACGCTCGGCTCTGACGTCAAGGCCGCCCTGGTGGAGCATGGGCGCACACAAGGCAGCAGCGACTACTTTGCGGGCGCGCTGATGGCGTGCCTGGTCGACATGAGCGGCATCAATGCCTCTGTCCTCCGCCAGGGGCTGCAACTGCCCAGGTGGGAGCATGCTGCGCCGGGCGAGCGCGTCCTCGAGTACCCGTGCACCCTGGAGGAGCTCGCTCAGCTCAGGCGCTTCATCGGCGCGTACCAGAAGAAGCAGCAGAAGGCGGGATTCAAGGGCACCAAGCTCTTTTCGGATGCGGGCTTCCAGACGCAGGGCTTCCGGTGGATCGAGTACCTTGCTCAGTGGCTGCGCCCGGCATCGAGCAGCGAGGCGTCTGCTGATCCGGCGGCGTGCTGCCGCTTTGCTGAGGTTGCGGCCCAGGTGCGTGACAGCAGCACGTGGCAGGAGGCGAATCTCACGGTCCAGACGCTGCCGGGGGTGGGCGGCTACACGGGCGCGCAGGCTCTGCTCCAGGTCCTTTACGGGGTCTTTGGAGGGGAGGTGGCCGCGTGCTTCACGCCCAGCTTCGCCGAGGCCTCGATGCGCGACTGGTGCGCGTACGGGCCTGGCCCGGTGTCCTCGTGCAACAAGCTCTTCGGCACGGCCGACGGCGAGACTCTCGCGGGCATCCGCTGGCTGCAGGAGCACCAGCAGGAGCGCTTCGCAACGTACGGTCTGGATTTCCCGTACCTTCAGCAGGCGGACGGCACGCCGCGGCTACTTGCCGCGTGCGACCTCGAGCACTCGCTCTGCTACTTTTCGCGCTACCTCAGCGCGCGCGCGAGCCTCGGCGCCGCCGGCGCGGAGGCCCTCAGCCGCGCGATGCCCGCGGGCTTCCGGCTCTATCGCATCGGCAAGCTGCAGGGCCTGAGCGCCGCCAAGGTCTGGGAAGACTTTGACGCGCATCGCGATGCTGGTGCGGGAGGGGGTTTGGGCGCAGGCCCGACGACGCCAAGCTGCAGAAACGAGCTTTTAGTGCTTATGAGCATAAGCACTGGATTCTCATGCGCGCGGAGCGCGCCGGTGCTCTACCCGGACACGCGCGGAGCGCGCTAGCTGGACACCGCGGCACGCGCGGAGCGCGCTAGCTAGACACACACGCGCGGAGCGCGCTGGCTAGATACCGCGCGGAGCGCGCTGGCACCTATGTGCGCGGAGCGCACCACGGTAGAGTCTAGACACATGAAGACAGTCTGTTGCAGTCAGTTGTGGCCACGCGGCATCGGCCTGACGTCGTAGCACTCGGCTGGCAGACGCTGTGTCTCTGCCTTCTTCCGCGTCATGACCAGACCCCGCTGCAGCGAAGCTCCAATGCCGCCCCTCTGTGCACGTGACCTGTCGTTGTGGTGAAAGCGGTCTTCCCAGTTGAGCCCGCCCCAGTTCTCGAGCGCACGGTTGATGAAGGGCACGGCGACGGGATGGTACGGCTGGGGCGCGTTCCACGCGATCACAGCCTCCTCAGTTGCAGTGACCCAGTTGCCCTGGCGGTCGCAGCGGTCCCACACACCGCCCATGCCCTCCACAACAGCCTCACACATTGACTTTGTAGCCATGTGCGTCCAGAGGTAGAGGTAGTTTTTGCAGCAAGAGTAGAAGCGGGCGTCGGTGAATACAGTTTTCATGATGACGGTGCTGCTGGTCGCGCGGTTCCAGGATTGAAAGCCTGGCCGAGGTGCCCACTCGGTGAGCAGCTTAGACAGCATGACGAACTCTCTCCAGACAACACTAAATGCCGGCATGTCGTCGACAGCTCCTGGATCAGCGCCACCGCCGCCGCCGTCGGTAGCAGGGCTGGGAGCAGCGGGGCCAGCAGCAGGGCTGGCAGCGGCGGGGGCGACATCATACGTCTGCCCCGGGTCGTAGTTGTCATCGTCAAACTGGCCGAGGGAATCGGCGGCAGCGGCAGGGGGCGGGGCGGCGGGAGGGGCGGCGGGAGGGGCGGCGGGGGGGGCGGCGGCGGGGGGGGCGGCGGCGGGGGCAGCGGAGGGGGCGGCGGGGGGGGCAGCGGAGGGGGCGGCGGCGGTGCCCACACGTCGCCACTGCATGCTGGGAGCAGCGAGGTAGTGCCACTTGTCAAGGTCGTTTGGCGCCCATCCTCCGTCCCGGCCGACGTCGTCATAGAGCACATGATGTTCATATGACGGCGTCCCGGTGCCACCCCCTGAGCGGGCCCGCCAGTCCACAACTTTGGCTGCATACCACCCCTGGTAGTTGCGTGCTGTCCAAAAAACTTCGATGCGTGACCCAACCAGCTGAAGCGGATCGGCAGCACCGGCAGAGCGCGTGCATAGCCAAGTGTATAGCTTGCGAAGAGGCGCCTTTGCACATTCCTCAGTGCAATAGGCGGGATTGCTGATCATCTGCGTGAAGTCGAGGCACTTCGACATTGCAAGAATGTAGTTAGCCTCCACCGTACTCTCTTTCAAGCGAGCACCGAGCGTTGTGCTGAGCTCTCGGGCGACCTTGGCTAGGTCACGGAAGGCTCGCGTGACTGCCTGAGAAACGTCAACAGCTGGCGAGCCCAAGCGCTCAGACACCCGACGGCCACGCAAACAGAGGTCAATCTTCTGCAGCGATGTGCCGTTTGCCGCCCGCACATGAAGCTCCTGCTTGCGGATATCTGGAAGGTGCAGCTGGAGGAATTCAAATTGATACGTCATCCGAGAGCCGGTTTCTGGAGGTCCGGGGAGCTGAAATGTGGCATTCTCTGCTAGAAGCTGCACAGCCAGCTGCTCCATCTTGATGACAAACCTCCCCACAGTTGCAGTAGTCTCCCACGGGAGGCGGTTGACAGCCTGA